TTGCTGGGCTCGGCGGGGGCCAGCCTGCTGCTCACCCTCATCCCGCCCGCCGACCGGGACGCGGGGTACAAGTACTGTAACGCCAGCTGGCAGCCGGGTGACCGAGGGGCCGCCACCACCGTGCCCGGCCCGGCCACGAGCAGCTATGGTGTTTTAAGCACGAGTGCTATTACGAACGCAAAAGCTGTGTCAAAAGAAAGGCTGGAAACAACTGCTGACATTTTAATAGCAAGCAGAAAGCCAATGCTAACTGGTTCAGCCTTCCAGGTGTTATTCGGCCAGACAGATACACTTGAGAAAAAAAGCAGAGGTGTTGGTGAAGGTGATACAGAGGCCAATGGCTACTTGGACGGTCCCTCTGGCTGGACAACATCTGTGAAAGCAGTTAACTGGGAGACGCACAAACCAGAAATGCCGGCTTCCTACAGACCTCCCTTAGGTGGACGCGAGAAGGAAACGAGCAGTCTGGGTTCTGCAATAGATCTTGCTGATAATGCTGAAGAAAGCCTTTATACTACTGAAAATAATGAGCTCTCTTTGTTTAAAACAACTCTTCCTGCTGTTGGAGATGCTTACGTGCCTGGAAACCCTTCAGACCACCACAAACAGGCTGTAGATGTCAGCTTGAAGCCAGTGCAAAACATCTTTCAGGACAGAGAACATCAGATTTTTCTAATGGTTCTGAGTGCTGTCATGCTTTGGGAGCTGTTGGCTACTTTTCTCAAATGGACGGTGGATGAGAGTCTCTATGAATATCTCGACTTCGTTGACGCGACCGACAGGTATGGCAAGCTGTGGATTTGGAGTTACCTGGGTGCATCTGTAGGTGCCTGCAGCGTTGCCATATTGGCGGATCAACTGAATTGCTTCCTGAGCAGTACAGTCACCCGCCTCGCTGTCCATTTTTACGGCTATGCCCTCCTGATAATGCTCTCATTGCTTGTCAGTGTCTTTTTTCCTGTTCATGTTCCCAAGAAAACTGACCGTGTTAACAAAACCGCCAAAGCCCTGGCCCTGCTGTGGAGCGATGGCCGAGCAATCCTGTATGCCGTCACCATCTTCCTCACTGGCGTGTCTGGGTCTGCGGTGCACAACTTTCTCTTCTGGCAGATGGAGGACCGAGGCAGCGGTGAGCTGTACATGGGGCTCTCTGTGGCTGTTGGGCTGCTTGCTGAAATCATGCTTTATTTCTTCAAAGGGAAGTTGCTGAGGACTTTATCGAGCAGCAAAATTGTTGCGGTCAGCCTGAGCCTCCTGGCAGTGCAGCTTCTGTGCTACTCCTTCTTGTGGACTGCATGGTCGGTTCTCCTTATCCAGATTTTATCCGCCTTCAGTAGTGGGGCTTTGTGGTGGGTGGTTAACATGGCAATGGATGACATAGCTACTCCAGGCATGGAGAGGTCCCTGCATGCTGTTCTCCAGGGCCTCTGCTACGGTGGAGGAGCAAGCTTGGGCAGTTTTGCAGGAGGATTTGTCGTTAAGTACTTTGGCCTGGCAGTTCTGTACAGGGCGTGCTGCGTGTGCCTGGTACTGTGGCTCTTCTTGTTCTTAATTGTCCAATCTAAATTGCCACAGCAGAAAAAAATTAATTATTCTCGTCTCCTGGCTGCTGATTCCAGTGACATGAGCGACTCCGACGAGGAGAACGAGAGGGACTGGCTGGTAAAAGCTATGAAGGATGAAAGCTTTACTAGGAATTGGTCACAACAGCATGGGATCAATTAATCTATACTTGAATGTAGGGGGTGGAGTGGTAATGCGGTATGATGAGGGTGCCTGGAAATGACTGTTAATTCTAATGTGCTAAATATATATCTGACAGGGCAGATTTTTATTTTAAAATTTTTATAAATGTTTTTATTAATTTATAGCGCTCTTGTAGTAATTTTTCCTTTCTAACAATGATTTTGCTTCCAAAATCATACCAAGGTATTTCAGGTATACATTTGCTGAAATGAATGTAGCTAAGTTTTTAGTCAAAAAGCAAACCTGAATTCTTGCTCCCCAGAGCTGGTGCTGTGGAAACTGTGAGTGAAAGCTGTGGCCTGTACTTTGACACAGTTGACTGAAAAACACTGTAATGCTAATGGCACGCTAAACTTTTTCAAGGTGCTATGTCTGTGGAATCCTTCTGATGAATGAGGGATGTGAATAAAAAAAATGGTTCATTTGCTCTGCTTTGGTTTTTAAAAACATGTTTTGCTACAGACTGTCTTCTCAGGTTTTGGGGGTTAAGTATGCTTCTGTATTGGCATCTGTTGGAAAAAGTCACCACGTCTGCTCACAGTCAGGGCCTGCTGGCTGTCCAGATTCAGCAGAACAGCCTGTGGATTTTCTTGTGTTTATTTACCGAAGGTGGCACCCCATGTTCAGGCTGACGAGGAAGCAGTCTGCCCTCCGGATCTGAGCAACTTGGGTGAGCATAGGGCGATATTTGTTCAGAAGGAACTTGGCACTGGCTGAGTCGATCTGGTTGAAGCTGGTGATCCTCCCTGGGTCAGTCTGGCCTGAGGGCAGCCCTCTTCTCACCTTTCCTATTTAGAACTAAATCTGTGTCCTGAACGGGGCCTGCTAAGTCCAGAAGGATCCTCAAGCTGCCTTATCTGTCTTGCCTTAACCTCATAAGCACACAGATGTCCACACCTCTTCAAGAGATAAGATTTGCTTATAAATGAAAAATTGGTGGTCCGATCGCATTAAAAGATCTGTGTCAGACCTTAAACGGGGCTGGTGGGGAAGCTTTGAGCCTTACAGTCCTTTCAGCTACCAACAAAAGCCGAGGTCAGTTTATTAGGTGCTTCTTACATCATTCCTTTTCAGAGGGATAGATTTTAATAACGTCTTCCTAGCATTGTACAAGCCGCAAGGCAGGCAGCTGCTAAAAGCAGAATATTTCTTTAAATGCATATTTAACATGTGACATGCAAAGGGCATTGCAATCTGTCACCCCGCTGCGTTCTGGGCCCAGTAGAAAGTGGTTGGAGTACAAGGAAAAGCAATGCCATCAAGGATAATCTCTTTGTATGCATCGATTCCAGATTATCTGTACATCACACGCTTTCCGGGTAATTAGCGTGCTCTTTTCCTGGCACAAATCCACTATGCCATACAGATACTCTACTAGAACGACTCTATAGATAGAACTGTCCTCATGCCAAGAATAGCTGGAACTTTTTATTGAGATGTTATGTTCTCCCAGGAATTCAAACTCAAGTTGAGAACAATTTTAGCGTCAAGAATCTATCCCAGCCTTATTATCATATAATAACTCAGGAACTCTAATTACTTGTTAATAGAGTACCTGACTTCAATTGTGAGTAACATAACTGCAAGCAGCACATCATAGAGGCAGCAGTGCTTCTGCGAGATGAACACTGCAGAAATAAGCTGGAATGGTTTAAAATGCGGGTGCTTCTTTAGCTGGAAGTGACTGCCCTCATCTGAAGCCCATTCAAAGGGGGATTCATGCTCTTTCTGTCTGCTTCAGCACAAAATCAGCTGCTCTAATTCCAGTTTTGCAAAGAGAAACCTTGAAATGAAAAGTGCTCGTGCAATCCATCCTGTGACCGTGGCAGAGGGGTGATAAGGGCTGCCGGCAGAGCTGTGGTGTGACACCCCAGGGCTCTCACCTCCGAGGTTGTTTCGGCCGTGGATGTTGAGATGTGCCCAGCCGTTGCTGCTACGAACGGAGAGGATTTAAGGTATGGGCCAAAGCTTAACTTCAGTGTAACAATTTTGCATAATAAGATTTTTTTTAAAAGTTATTAATCCAATAAACACATTTGGTGCTGATTCAGGGGAGAATCATATTTATGTGGTTTGCAATATGTTTTGAATTACAAACCACTATGGCAGTGGACATGACAGAGGGCTCATTCGCTGAAGAAATTGCACCAATTTGGTTAAATCATTTTCCACTGGGGTTCATGCAGTTTCTGTGCGGTGAGCTCTACATTGGTGACTCAGCCTCTTCGCTGATGGTCACAGACCCTGCAAGCCAAAAGCGTGAGAAGGGAGGTGGGCTTAAATGGTTCTGTGTGAGACTTCCTCACTCTGAGCATGGCTTTGTTGTTCTTGCAGAAGTAAGAACATGCTGAGGCATTTAATGCCATTGGGAGTAAGATGTAATTGAGAAGAACCAAACCGCCTTTGGGGAAAATTCTTGTGATGTGTTTCCAACCACATCAGCGGTTATTTTTGCATTACTTTGCAAATATTTGCCCAGAAAAATTGATGTTGAAATTTCTGTTGGAGTTTTTATTCTTAAACAGCAATTGTAAGGTTAAAAGTGATTATAAAAATCACATAAGTTTTACTGTTTGGCTACTTCACAGTGAACTTTAAGCAAATTTCAGAGGCTTATATGTAAAAATACTTTTCTTTTTTTGCCCTTTGGTGCCAGTCCAGGGTCTAAGTTGAGCTGTGTCCTTCTCTGAACACAATTAGGTTTAACTGAGCTCAGGAGGCCAACCATAGCTGGCACTGAGGAACAGGTTCCTCACAATGACGGTCTTAGTAGCTCTTAAGATTTAAAATTTCACACATAGCTCAATGTATGTGTACTTTGTGAGAGGTTTCAAAGGATCTGAGTCAATCACTTCCATTAGATGAGACATCATTTGCCAAAAAATAATAAAGGCTCCTTTGCTTATCGTGAAACAGCTTACAGGCCCTGCAGGTAGTTTCGGTAGACAGCTGATGCAGCTGAACTGGCATCTGAGTAACTCATTGCATCAGACACCTTATCTTGCTTTTAAAAAATTCATTCCCAAGTTATAAGGGAACTAAAATTGCAGGTTCTCTCTTTCTGGCAGTTATTTTATGAGGGGATACTGCAGATGTTTCCTTCAGCTCCTCTCTGCGTGCACCTCACGTCAGCAATTGACTTAAGTAGTGTGGCGCTTTCGGAACATGGGATTAGGTAAAACGCAGTGGGCCCTGATCTCTAAATGTTCATTTTTTGGGTAGATCTGAACAGCATAAAAGGCTTTCCAATGTTCTCCAAAGATTTCTGTAATTCAGCAAGCAACCACAGCGCGTTTCTTTGTGGACTGTAGTGAAATCTGCCCCGGTGAATTCACAGACGGGTTTTTGTATTTTTGCAATGAGTCGTGGCCCAAAATCGTAGATACGGTCCATTTAAGGTAAGCCCATTTAGCTGCAGTTTCACAAGAAGGGGAGAGTGATGCTTTTGAGAGCTGTGGGGTTCTTCTGCATGTTCTGAATCTTAAAAGCAAGAGCTCTTGACTTGCCCTTCCCCCCGTGGCGGGGTGTAGTGCCTCTAAGGCACCGCTGCTTTTGGTCTTCTCGTTTTGTTCATCTTTAAACTACAGGCAGGACATTCCCACTCTGATTTGAACTCTTACCTGAATCAGGATTACAATACGATACCAAAATTCTCTGCCTTTGTAATATGGGTCCCTTACAGACTTCTTAAAAGTATGAGGCAGCTCCTCACCACTTCTGGAGTTAGCACTAAGTAGTAGTAATGCAGGGGGAAAAAAACAGTCTATTTTGAAATATCTTGACACTCCCGCTTGGCATCTGTATCACTGTATTTATCAAGAGGGAGCCATGTAAAGGAATCTATGCTAATTTAGACCATACGTTTCTCAGGGAACAGATACATTTGTTTGCTGTGTCGTTTCTCCCCGGGGCCTGGTTTTGCTGTAATGACTAAATTACTTCTCTGGTCAAGGACAATTTTTTACTTTAAATTGTGCATGTTGAGACCATAAAACCGTAAAACTGAATGTAGAGGTGAGTATGAGGCAACTTTAAAACTAACCTTTGCTTCACCCTTAATATTTAGAAGTCGTGCCTGAAGAAATCAAGGAACAGAAAATGTAGCTATCTTATCACAGCCTCGCCAGCGGAGCAGGCGGGGAAGTTGTTGGTAACACGGCTTCATTTCTGAAACTGCGAGAACATTTCCACCTCTAATCAGGCAGGAAAGTCGGAACTCTGGAGGTAGTGACACCACCGAAAATAGCAGGTTTGCGTTAACACAGGGTTCTTATTGTTTGTAAAAGGAGTTTTGAGCCAGGAAACACAATCACATGCTGAAATAACGTTAAAGTTCAAAGCATGACTTGAGAAACATGAACCTGATTTTTTGATGAATCCTAAGGAAAATAAACTTATTAAATAACTCCACTGATTCTGGCATGTGCATCCCTCCACAGGAATAGGCATTCAGGTAACTGCAGTCCTTTCTCAATAAGTGACAAATGAAAATACTCAGCTCCCTTCTGTCGCCAAGGTGCGCCTAATTGAGTGGGCAGCAAGGGGCCCTGGGAGCATCACCTTGGAAGCATTTCTGAAGGCTCGGAATTCGCTGGATGTGCCTTAGCGGTGCCTGTTGTTTGCTGTTGCCTACTCAGGTGGTTTCTTTAAAGAGCTTCAAGCGACCATGTCCATCCTAATGTTCTCCAAGCTGCATTTTAATTCTCTTTGTATTTGCCAGCACCTCTCAAGAGCCTGGGAGATTGTATTACTGTTGCATGGTACTGGCTGATCTGTTGAGAAGTTGCTACTTTCTGTTGTGTAGGTGCTTGATTTCTACAGAAGTGACTGTATACAGGGAAATATTAGAGCTTTTAAGAACTATTCTGCTAGTGCCCCGACAGCATTGCTGCTAGCGACTCTCCTCTCATGTGAAAGTCACTTCAAGACCCCTTAAAACCTTCTCATCCGTGCATTCGAGGATGCCGAGCATACCTGGG